ATTACTAATAGTATTATTATATATATATATATATGTTGTATACATATAAATTTTATAATTACAATGATTTATATATATATATATATATGTTGTATACATATAAATTTTATGAATACAATGATATTCATATATATATATATATGTATGTATGTATATGTGTTTGTATATACATATAAAATATATATGTATAAATATTTTATGTTATATATATATATATACACTTACATATATACATATATATATATGTATATATATATATATATATATATATAATTTAATATGGATGTGAATTTATATGTGTACAAATACATATATATGAATACATATATATTACTATTTATATGTGTGTGTATGTGTGTGTGTGTCTGTGTGAGAGTATGTGTGTCTGTGTGTGTTCTTGTGCGTGTGTATGTATCAATATTATATATATATATATATTTAAGTACATTTATATATAAATATATATGTGTGTGCGTGTTTCTGCGTGTGAGAGTGTGTCTGTTTGGGTCTATTTGTGTGTATTTATGTAGGTATGTATCTACCTATGTATGTATGTATGAATGAATGTGTGTATGTGTGCATGTATATATGTATGTTTGTATGTATATATGTATGAATCTACCTATGTATGTATGCACGTACGAATGTATGTATGTATGTATGTATGTATTATGTACGTATGTATGTATGTATAAGTATGTATGCATGCATATATGTATGTATTTATATACATATATATATATATATATATGTATGTATGTATATATATATATAATACATCATATATATATTTAAGTATATTTATAGATATATGTTGAATTAGAAGGCTATCATATATACATATATATATATATATGTCTATATATATGTATCTCTCTTATATTATACATTATATATATAGACTCGTGTTTGTATGTTTGTGTGAGTGTGTTCATACATATATTCAAAAATATATCCGTAGACATACACATAAATATATAAACTTATACGCATACATAGTATATATACAACTATATGCAACTAAATATAAATATATATATATATATATATATATATTTATATACATCTGTGTATGTATGTGACAACTATATATATATATATATATATGTGTGTGTACGTATGTATGTATGCATGTCTGTATGTATGCCTGTCTGTATGCCTTTCTGTGTGTGTGTGTGTCCATGTGTGTGTGTGCGTGTGTGTGTGGTATGTGAGTGTGTGTGTGCGTGTTTGTTTGTGCGTATGTGTGTGTGTGTATGTGTGTGTGTATGTTTGGTTGGGGGTGTGGGGGTGGGGGTGATTGCGTGGGTGTGTGATTGCGTGCGTAGGCGTGTGATTGCGTGTGTGGGCGTGTATGGGCGTGTATGGGAGTGTGGGGGCGTGGATGTATGTGTGCTATTTTAAATGTGTATGTTTGTGTGATAGTGTGTGTGTGAACATTAATATGTGTATGTATGTACGTGTATATAAATGTGACGTGAGCCATCGAAATGATGCAGATATACTAAATCCACAGGCCTTACTCCGATATACATTGCATGCTTATGAAGAGAAATTCTAAACAAGTAATAAAAAAAATGAATATACGCACCAAGAAAAAACATACCAGTATACTCGCAGCTCTCCTCCACAAACAATATACGAGCATAGGTGAGGTTCCGAGTTACCGTTCGCATGCTTTGTTTCTTCAAGTCAATAACTGAGTCTTCTAATACGAACCCGTTTGACTTGTCTTTTCCTAAAAATAATTCTGCCAACTTAGGCTTATTATTAGTTTTTTCCAACAGCCGTTGGCTAACTAATCGGCCCTCTGCGTCTACACTACGTTCTATAACATCACACCCAAGCACGTGAGAGCTCATAGGGTTGGGATACTTGCGTAAAAACGCATACGAAACGTCCTCCCAAGTGTGCTCATATGTGTGAGTCGTTTTGAAAAACCTAACCATCTTGTCTTACAATTTTTAAGAATGATCTACAGATAAGACTTCGTATATTGCATTAATGTGAGTTCTGTGCAGGCAAACGAATGCGTACGACGATATATAATACAAGCCATTACTTTCAGAATTTTCTGTATAGCGTGAATTCCGCCGCTCGAGTTCAATCAATTTCTGAATTTCATCACCATAAAAAATATTAGAAATAAATATAAAAGAACATGAATGTACATGTTCACTATGTACGATGAACAACCCTGTTTGTTGTTTAAACACAAGTGAGGCTGTGAGGGCTGTGATGCCCTGAGACCTAAGCCGTCCTGAGGCCTTGAGGCCTGAGGCCTGAGGGCTGAGACCCTGAGCTCTGCGGCTCTGACCGGGAGCCCTGCGACCTGAGAGTCACCAGTGTCACCACCCAGCGGCGCCCACAGGCCACAGCCCATAGGCCAGCTGCCCAGTGTCAAGTGACAAGTCGCCAATCCGCCAATGCACATTTCCAAGTTTAAAGCAATCTATTTTTAGTTTCACGTGCCCGAAAATAGTGAACAATCCGCTAAGCTAGTAAAAATCGGGATCTCGCTCAGAGTCTCAGACTCGTGCTGTAAAAAAAAAAGTAAATACACAGCAATAGCACAGAGTATCGTCGTACCCTAATATACACAAGGATGGCTATGTATAGTAAAGCACATCGGTCAACACGGCCAGTCTGTCGGCCACCAAGTGACCAAGAAGCAAGGCCAAAGCCCAAAATGCCTATTTTTTCAATAAAAACAAAATTCATCGCGTGATCGGACTTTAAGAGTCTTTCGAGTCTCGACTCTCGAGTCTCGACTCGCGTCCCTCGGCCTCGGAGAAAGCTTATAGGTCTCTTGCTTACAACGATGGATGTATTCATAGCCTTCGTAAAAATTGCAAGAGAGTAGAAAGCTCTGTTGTATTCTTCGTACTGTAGTAACTTTTTAGAGCTGATATGTATACAAATAAAAAGTCGGAGAATACATTCATAGTCCAGCTAGGAGATATGAAAAATTATGATGTTAATGCAAGACCCTATCTAGAGAGAGAAAGAAAAATCAAAATAAATAAATTATATATATATATATATATATATACACCACAACGGACTCTGTAGGATGTCCCTGACATCCACCACTGTCCCTTCCTACACACTTAGAGCAGAGAGAGCCCTCATGGCCGTGGTTATTGTATAATATATTTAGAGGGCTATAATGAACCATAGCCTTCTTCGAAATCGAACAGTCTTACATGCATTGCTTCTCCAGCTTTCCTGTGTTTGCTGCTTGGTCTATAGTATTGTAATGACAAATTGACAATATATAGAGGAAACAAGATTCAGTAAAAGAAATATCCACTTATTTGAAAAAGTATTTACAATCACTACAATGTCACTTCACAACAATGAACAGATCAGAATTTAACTACATATTTTGTACGTGATAGTCACAGAGTCACAGAGTCACAGACTCGTAAGATCATCACAGTGAAAACTGAAATCACTTTTGTGTTTTTTCAGAAGGCTTTGTCTTTTAAATTTTGTTTTTGTTTTTGTTTTCTTTGTGTTTTTTTTTAACATAGCCTTCGTCTAAATTGACATCTAACAAATACTATATTGTAAAATAGACTTGAAGTCGAAGACTTTGCATGAATGTCGAACAACTTGAGACCCGGAGGGATGGTCACTGGTGAGTGGGGACTGTCACCAGGTCCCAAAGACCCAAAGTCCAAAGCGACCAAACTCCCAAACGAGAGTCGGGACTCGAGAGGGAAGGTCACTTGTCCCAAAAACCCAAAGTCCAAACTCTCAAATCCTAGAACGACAATCAATCGATTGCTGTCTAGTTGAGGTTTAAAACTTGTAAACCTGGTTTGACTAAGAACTATTTATATTTACAAATTCTATTTTTAGGCAGTATTTTCCCAGTTTAGTATTTTTTTTAGAATAAATTGTGAATTTCAAAATGCACATTTGCAGGGCTTTCCAGATTCCAATAACCACTGTCCACACGTAAAAAAATAATAGGTGTCTATTATATATAAATGTGTAGACGGATATGTACATTTTCAAAGTTCACAGAATACCCCGGCATTTACATACACTACTTTATTGAACCAGAAAGAGTTAATTTATATTCATTGCACAATGGCCAGAAGCATACCCCGACCCGCTCTCAATCTCATGGGCTTCACGCCTAAGCAAATGCTAGGATTGTAAGTAGCCAAATCTTCTCGTGTCACTATTTTTACGTTGTTCACTGATCACTTTACTATACTTTTTAGTCGCATGCTTTGGTCTGTGTGGTACAGTGTAGAGATACTTGACAAGTTCGATTCTCAGAAAAATGCGAAACTATACTTCTTCAGCACTATTTCCACACATCTCTCAGATACTTTAAACGAGTACATATGTATCGTATGAGCCGAAGTTGGTATTGCTATAGTAGTATGTGAACACCTGCGAAATTGTTTGAGTGTACCGAAGGTGGTATTACTATAATACTATTTAAACACCTGCGAATAAACGCGTTGAAGAATTGTCTCGAATATATTACGGGAAGTTTGTGGACAGAATGATTTTAGGAAAAGAACACACGTCACTTTCAAATTCTAGTTTCAAAAATCCGTTCGTAGCCTGTTGATTCTATTTCATATTCTAAATTCTGAACTCGTTTCCGTCTTCATTTGACTTCAGTGCTCCCACAGCTGCCGCTTGGGGTGTAGCAGGCGCGAGTCTCGCACTTCTGTTCTGGCAACCAACGTATGTATTCATATGCCAAATATGTGGTGGTTTCTGAGGGTTTCGTCATTGTGCTTTTAGAACAATGCAATTTCATTTGCGTATATGTATTTATATATATATATATATGTGTGGGGGTGTGTGTGTATGTACCTATATATATGTGTGTGTGTGTACCTATGTGTTTGCGTGTCAATGCGTATGTGTTTGTGTTTGTGTTCGTCTATATATATATATATATATATATACAAGTGGGTGGGTGGGCGGGTGGGTTCAAGTATGTGTATCATATGTATATATATATATACATATATATATGTGGGTGTTTGTGCGTCCTTGTATTCATTTTTATTTGGGTTTACGCATTATGTATGTGTGTGTGCATGTTTGTAAGCCATTTTGCGTTCATTTTTGGTTCATGTACACAATTGTATATATGGATATGTATCTATTTATATATGTGTGTGTGTGTATATATATATATATATATTAGCAATTATTTGTACATATATGCGTTTGCAATTGTGAGGAGAACTTGAATGTTTTAAAATTCGCATGTATTTTTTTTGGCACATGATAAAAATCTTGCGAATATATATATATATATAAAGGAGATTGATTTAAAAGTGTATCTTTTCTATTATTTAAATCTTATGTTTATATGTGTGTCTGTGCGCGTGTGTGTGTCTATATATATTGTATACATTTGTACTTTCGTATATATACATATGTTAAAAGGTGTGCGTGCGTCTGTGTCTGCGCATTGTTTTTTTTAAAGTGTATTTATGTTTTCTATTTGGTATTGTGTGTGCACGTATAATTGATTCGAACTCGTTGGTCATGTCGACGATATTTGATTTTTAGTCTGATGAATGTACTTGAAGTTATTTACTGTTGCACTAAGTAAAATGCGTTTATGAAAATGTCTTTATGCTTATTTTATGTGTGTTTGTCTATGTGCGTGTGTATTGTGTGTACGTCTATTTATGCGTATATGTATAGGCATGTTTATGATTCAGAATTCTTTATGAATTCTTACAGGTGTTTGTTCTCTGTAAGATGGTTTGAAGTAAGTATACATCTCTAATCAGTAACCTAGGACAACAATAATCTAGATGAGTTCAAATTTTAACAGTTCTATTTTTCATCGACTGCACACTTTTTTTGCTTTCGTAAATGTAATATTTGCAGCATCATTCTGCGTTTGTCACAGTGTCTTAATTAATTGTGGTATGGTTTAAGTTTAGCGGATCTCGTGCATGTTGTTTCCTCGATCTGTGTGCCTATGAATCGGTTCAATCTACACTGCCTCAGATGCCGCTGAATTCAACTCAATTCGTTTTCAATTCCCTTGATACAGTGCCCTATTCTCCAAATTCCCAATCACTGGCAAGCGTTTGATCGAGCAAGAGGAGTAAATTCACGACTTATGTTCAACAAAAGGGAGGTGGGAGTTAAAGGACCGATGAATAATATTGTGATCTCCTCGGGGACGAGTCTATATTCTCTCGATGGATGAACTTTCGACTTTGCAGTTCAGAGTCAAACTATTGAAGCGTATACGATGGCCTGGACAAATGGACTTTTAGAGACGTGAATGATCGTTGCTCCGTCGGTGCTGTTTTTCTAATATTCAGCACTTCGCCTCGTTGTTTTTGCAATAAACTATTTCAGAGTCGCGTTGTCTGACTTCGCTGGCTGCACAAATCCAAATGAAGCATACCTTCTCTTCGCTCGTGCAAATTCGTTTGCATCTATCTCATCTTAGCCGGCCTCCGGACGGTCTCAAACATTCGACATGTAAACTCTTTCACGTTTATGAACTGAAAATTTCAAAATGCAGCCCCGACGTCTGCACTCATCTATTTTGCGATATTCGGATGGTTCTTCCCGTCCTTGTTGCTCGTGCAAATTCGATTTTTTACCTCATTTCAATTTAGCTTGCCTTTGGACGATGTCAATATTATTCACCATAGGTATGTTCTTTCGTATAAATTGTTAAATATCAAAATTCCGGAATACGGTTCATACTAGGGGAGTTGATAGTGGAGCTATTTGACATCGCTGTCCGACGTTTTCCAATAATAATCTCTTTGGTTTTAAACAAAATGTACTGACTTCGGTATTTTGAAGAACCACACATCATCCACCTCTGTTAGTAAACGAGCATAGAGGTGTAGTTAACTGTATTGTGGTGAAC